TCCTCAAAAATTTAGGAAAAACATGCTAAGGAACACAAATTACCTATTTAATATTCCAATGTTCTAAATATTTGATATAAGGGAATTTTTTTTTTAAGGCATATTGTTTTGGTGTTACCAGATTAACTTTAGAGGTGGAGAGAAATGTAAACATGATAGGGATGCGATAACACATGGGAATAGAAAGTAACAGAAAAAAACCCCATAGTTTGTTAATTAAATGTGGGATTAATGGCGAATGCGATTTAAGAGATTTGACAACCCAGTAAAACCATTTATTCTTTTGAACATTCATACAAGTCAAACTTGCAGCAAACAAAGAATCACAACAATGGTTCAAGGATACAGAGATCAGTATTTTCCATTTGAAAGTTCCACCCTCTAAAGCAGGGGCGGGCAAACTTTGGCCTGAGGGCAGCATTGGGTTTTGGAAATTGTATGGATGGCTGGTAGCCAAGCATGGCCCGGCTCCCACCCCCTATCCCCCCACCCCCACTTCTCGCCCCCAAGAGCCCTCCCCTCCCCGGGGACCCCTGCCCTATCCACACACACTCCCCCACCCGCTGACCGCCCTGACTGTCCCCCACCGCCCCATCCAACCCCTCCCTCTCCCTGTCCCCTGACTGCCCCATCCAACAACCCCTTCTCCCTGTCCCCTGACTGCCTCCCACCGCCCCATCCAACCCCCGCTCCTTCCTGACTGCCCCTCCAGGACTCCTGCTCCCATTCAACTGCCCTGTTCCCCACCCTGAAAACTCCCCCCCCCCCCCGAACTCCCCTGGCCTCTATCCAACCCCTGGCTCCCTGTCCCCTTACCACACTGCCTGGAGCACCAGTGGCTGGCGGCGCTACAGCCGTGCCGCCTGGCTGTAGCCACAGCCACGTTGCTGCGCAGCACAGAGCACTGGGTCAGGCCAGGCTCTGCAACTGCGCTGCCCCAGGAGCTCACAAGCCCGCCACCCAGAATATTGCATCGGCGGTGCAGTGAGCTGAGGCTACGGGGGAGGAGGGAACAGGAGGGGAGGGGCCGGTGGCAAGCCTCCTGGGCCAGGAACTCAGGGGCTGGGCAGGAAAGTCCCGGGGGCCGGATGTGGTCTGCGGGCCATAGTTTGCCCACCTCTGCTCTAAAGCTACCCTGCAGGGGTTCCCACTTATTCAGAAATAGTACAAAAGAGGCAAAATCTGATGTTACACCATAATGCAAATGTTTTCATTTGAGTGAGCAGGTATGGAACCTGGAAGATTTCAAGTGTATTAAGCAATCTACTTTTATTTTAGGCCTTGTTATATTTAGAAGTGTTTGAAAAGATCAGTTTGCTCCCTCTCTTTAGAATATTGAAGTGTTACTGTATCCCATCTACTCGGTGTTTAGAGTTTGTGGACAAGCACTGACTGACAGTTTACAGAAGAGACAACAGATAAGGATGATTCATGTTATGAAAATTCCTAGCACACCAAAGTGCAGATCTTTGGCTGGTGTAAACAACAGCTTGAAAGAACTTCAACAGAAGCTATGACAGTCTACACCAGTTGAGGATCTGTCCTTAGTGTTTAAAGGTCTTCCTATAGAATACAAAAAAATGTTCAAATCTGAAGGAAAGCAGTAAGAAGGCTGTAAGATAGATGACTACTTAAAATACATTTCATGTGCACCTGGGTAAGGTGACAATAGCAGAAACATTTATATGAAAAATTTTAAAAGCCTAACATATCAAAGCAGCAAAATCCAGTTACATATCAAGAATGAACAGAGATACCACTTCTATAAATTACACCAGACTTACCATTACAAGATGATAATCCAAAAACAATTTTAAAATATAAACAAGAAGGGATAGGAATAGTTGTGGGATTGCTAAAGAGGTTAACACAAAGAGTAAGGAAATAAAGCAAAGGAAACTGTCAGAAAGGAAATAGAAATTTTAGTCATTTAACACACATCAGGAAAAACAATGGAGACAGAGGAACAATCCTCAAATTACAGTACAAGAGACAAAATATGTGAGAATTACATGACAGATCACATTAGCAGTCTCAAAGCATCAAGTTTCTGAGAATGCTTTTACTAGGAAGATATAAAGATACTTCAACTAAAGGTGAAGTTTATAGTATATAATTAAAAAATGCTCAAACAACTGAAGTCACTGAAGTGGACTGTAACACAGGAGCAGGGCATAGGAAGTTTCACATGAAGTGAAACTTACATATCCTATCCAATTGAAACTGCAGGGGCATCTAGATTTGCTTACCATACCTGTCTTTAAACCCTGAGATCCTGCTCAAATTTAGAACACCTGGTTTTGCCAGAAGTGCAAAGGCTTTCCATTTTTCCAGATATGCCTTTAGACAAGTCTATATAATAGAAACTATTTTCTTTATGCTTGATTTACATTTTGTGATCAATTTACTTCACTATATTGTTAATTTAGCCACAGTGTAGGATACTGTCAGAACACAAGTGACAAAGGAAATTAAGTACTCATTGTAGACAGGTTTCAGAGTAGCAGCTGTGTTAGTCTGTATTCGCAAAAAGAACAGGAGTACTTGTGGCACCTTAGAGACTAACATTTATTTGAGCATAAGCTTTCATGAGCTACAGCTCACTTCATCTGATCTGCATGCATCCGATCAAGTGAGCTGTAGTTCACAAAAGCTTATGCTCAAATAAACGTGTTAGTCTCTAAGGTGCCACAAGTACTCCTGTTCTTTTTTCATTGTAGACAGTTAATTAAGCAGGATGTCCAATTAAAAAAGTACAGCTTTTATGTCAAGCACATGTATTTGTTGACATTTCAAACACCCTTTAGACACTTGGTAGCTACAGTAAAATAGTAATGTTGTCAATGGCTTTGCCAATAAGAGGATAACAGCTTTTGCTTTCAGGGTGGTTGGGGATGCACACAGCTCACTAGTTTCAAAGCATTAAAGGGGTTAGGTGGCATATTAAGTAGGGTTTCAGGAAACCACATGTTTATCTTGATGCAATTGCAGACTCTTTATGCAAAGTAGTAGATGAAATCTAAAGTCACCTATGTTGGGAAAAAAGAACTAAGTCCAAAAGCATATACGAGCACCCCATGCAGCCCCTAAAACGAATATTCCTTCGGATTTCATGCTAGAGGATTTTGCACGTAGCTGTTTTTGGGACACTGCTATCGTTTTCCTCTGGAGAAGAAGGAATAAAAAACTACTTGCAGCTATCAGTGCATTAACACATTTAAGTGCATACAATTTTCTTCTCCTAAGGACACCAAATTATCATCACAAAATTAACAAATGAAAATAGAAGTCACCCATCCCTGAACACTTAAGTTATATTAACCAGGTATAACTACAATTAACTATATGACTACTGAAACTATTATATATACCCCCAGCTAATGTGTCTGGACCATAGGTGCTGGAACTAGGGGCCTTGGCTTGAAGTGGATTCCATTATATACAGGGTTTACAATTTGATTCAATGGCTCTCCACACCCCCCACTATAAAAGTTGTTCCAGCACCCCTGGCCTGGAGAGGCCTATTAGATGCTTCAGCCTGAAACAGAACACAGGGTAATCAGCATACTGGAGAGAGAAGGTGTAGGAACTGGAGCAGAATGTGCCTGGCACCCCTCCCAGACAGAGAGAGAGACAGAAGAAGCCATTTAAACTACACACGTGGGCTTGCAGACATGTGAAAGAGTTAGTCTCAAACAGGGAACTGCGATACCCCCACCCAACACTACCCTGGCCGGGAGGATGCCACCCCCTGGGGCTACGTACCTGCTCTGCAGTGACCGGTTCGTTGAGGCGGTGCTCGGCGGAGAGGTGGTGTCTGAGAAGCAGGGCTCGTTTGTAGTTGCGGGTGCCCTTGCAGAGCTCGTCGTGCCCCCCCGCACCGCCTCCGCCAGCTATGCTGATGTCGGTGGGGGCAGAGGCGGCGGCGGTGCACCAGGCGCAGGACATGAGGCCGGTCTCCTGGCAGTAGTGCAGCCATGGGAACTCCTTGAGCCAGGAGCCCTGGAAGGAGACGTGCAGCTTCTGCAGCAGGGACTTGGGCCTGGCCGCAAGCGGGAAATGCTTGATGCTCTCCCCCTCCCCCGCGCCCACGCTGCTGCCCTCCGCCTCGTCCCCCCCATCGCCTCCAGACCGCCTGCTGCTGCTACAGCTGCCGCCCTCGGCGCCGCTGCCGTCGCCCAAGCTGCCCCCCTCGCCGTCCTCTTCGTCGTCACTGCTGTCGCTCAGGGAGCCCCCGTCCTGGACCAGGTCCTTGCCCTCCAGCAGGCCCTCGGGCTCCAGGCCTTCGGCACCCTCCAACTCCAGCTCCTCGTCCGCCCCCCGCCCATTGAAGTGCCTCCGCGGCCAGGCAGGGGCCTCGCAGCCATTGTTAGCGGCGGAGGGGCCGGAGAGGAGCCCTCCGCCGCCCCCCCGAAAGGCCAGAGTCCTGCGGTTCCTCTCGGCGAACATGGGGCCGCTGGCGGCCGCAGGGGAGACTGCGTCCTGGGGCGGGGGCAATAACAGCAGCTCCTTCCCCTCGGCGGCGGCCTCCAGCTCCTCGGCCTCCAGCCCCTCCAGCTCCACTTCCTCGTCAGCCCCCCGCCCATTCAGCTGCTCGGGGTCTTGCCGGGCCCAGGCCTCGGCCGGGTTACCCCCGTTGTTATTGTTCGAGGAGCCGCCCCCGGCGCCTCCGCCGGCCGCCGCTGCGGCCGCCGCGGTGACCAGGCCGCCAGCCCGGAACGCCAGCGTCCTGCGGTTCATCTCCGCGAACATGGCGCGCGCGCGCGCGCCCCCCGTCCGCCTCGCGCCCCCCGGCCTCGCGCTCTGACTCGCGACCGCCGCTCCCCGACCGACCGACTGTTCTGCCCGCTGACGGGGAAACTGGGACCCAGCCTGCCCGGGGAACAAAGAGAGACAAAGGGGCAAGTCCGGCCCCGGGTCTGGCCTCTACCGCCGCAGGCTCCCCACAATGGATCCGGCTCGGCAGCGCTTCCGTCCCGACAGGCCCCGGCCCAGGTCGAATGGCAAATGAACAACGGACTACTCCCACAATGCACCGGGGCAGCCACCGAGGGAGGAGGGGGGGTAGAGCGGGCGGGGGAGGAAGAGGGAAAGAGAGCGGGAGGCCGAACAGCTGGTGAGTGTCAGGTTCTAGTCAGCGCTCCCTGCACCTCCTTCTCCCCCTCCCCGCGCTCCCCACCCCCAGAGCACAGCGCAGCTCCCTGCCTTCCCCCCACCTCTGACTCGCTCTTTTTCCTTATGCTGCCATCTCTAGCCATGAGGTGCCCATCGAGCTGTAGCCCTCCTAGGGTGGCCTAAGCATCCCGAGACCCATATTGTGGCTCAGAAAGGGTGCCTGCAGGGCCCTGACTTCTTATTGTAGGCGATGGTGGCGACACACCGCCCGCCTCCGCGGTACAGTGTGCCAGGCGCGGGTAATTGCTCCGAAATGTACTGCCCCGAGTGCCTAAGCTACTTGCGCTTGTTGTGAAATGGGAATGCAAAGAAAAGGTCACACACGTGCTGAACTGAGTGGGGATGATTGCCATGGCTGTTACATCATGCACCGCCAATTATAGAGCGCCCTGCCTGTTTGTACCTGCGCTGACATACACTCTAATGCCATAGATTACCTGGGTTCCAGAATCCAGTACAGGGGAAGGGAGGGGTGAGCGGGTCAATGGTCTCAGTGTGCACTGTGGCAGTAATCATTAACAAATCTGAAAACACAGGTTATATTGGTTATAATAATGGACTGGTAGCTTTCACAGCAGTCCCTGCTGCATGTGTTTTCTAACCTCACCCAAAATCAAACTAGCATTTCTTAATTCCTTTCCACTTGAGTGCTGTGTTTATGGACACAGACCTAAAGTTCACCCTGTAAAATAGTCAGGGCCCTATCTACTCTCAATACCACAGTCACTGACAATTTGTAGCAGACTCTATTTCTTGCACAGAATTTAAACACTTTTGCGGGGAAAAATCATTTCTAGACTTCATAATTGTGAGAAAAAAAACCCACCTTGAAAACGAACCAAAATAAGCCGATATTGTCAAATTTGCTAGATACTGCACATGACCTGGAAGTGTTGCCAACCCTCTAGGATTGTCCTGAAGTCTCCAGAAGTGAATCTTTAATTAAAGATTATGTTAAGTGATGAAATCTCCAGGAATAGGGCCCAACCAAAATTGGCAACCCTACCTGAAACAATAGCTCTGAATTGCTCCATTCATTGCAGTGGGGTGTTAACTTTGCTTAATCATGAGCAAGTCTACACTTAGGGCTTGGCTACACTTGCGAGTTAGAGCGCAATAAATGAGCCCCGGGTGCCCTAGCTCACTACCTGTCCACACTGGCAAGGCACGTAGAGCACTCTGTCTCCGTGGCTACATCGCTGCTGGTACTGCACCTCGGTGAGTGGAATAACGTTTGCTGCGCCACCGCTGGAGTGCCATGGAGCCAGTGTGGATGCCCTGGTCTGTTATTGCACTGTGATCGGCCTCCGCAAATATCCCACAATGCCTGTTCTAGCCACTCTGGTCATCACTTTGAACTCTACTGCCCTACCGTCAGGTGACCAACCATCAGACCTGCCCTTTAAATTCTCTGGGAATTTTGAAAATCCCCTTCCTGTTTGCTTAGCCAGGCGTGGAGTGCTCTCTGCAAATCTTTCCAGGTGACCATGTCTCCACGTGCCAGGCAATCCCCAGTATGGAGCAATGGCGAGGTGCTGGACCTCATCAGTGTTTGGGGAGAGGAAGCTGTCCAGTCCCAGCTGCGCTCCAGCCACAGGAATTATGATATCTTCAGGCAGATATCAAGGGCCATGCTGGAAAGGGGCCATGACCAGGACGCACTGCAGTGCAGGGTTAAAGTGAAGGAGCTGCGGAATGCAAACAGCCACTCCAGTGCTGCCGCCGCGACCTGCCATTTTTACAAAGAGCTGGACGCAATACTTGGGGGCGATCCCACCTCCATGCCAAGTACCACCATGAACACCTCAGAGGCCAGTGCAGCAAGGCAGGAGGAGCAGCAAAGCGGGAGCGAGGGTGCTCCGGCAGAGGAAGACACCCCGGAATCCCTAGATGCATGCAGCCAGGAGCTGTCCTCAAGCCAGGAGGAAGGTAGCCAGTCACGGTGGCCAGTGCTTGGGGAAGGACAAACAGCAGAGGAGGTTCCTGGTAAGCGGCTTTTATTTTGGGAAGGAAGTTATTCAGTGCGGGCTCTTGGGGCGAGGAGGGTTAGGGCTGCTTGCATGCCTAGATGTGGAATAGGGCATCGATGTGCTCCCTCACATCGCAGTAATTGGCCTCAGTGATCTCTTCAGAGGTCTCAGCCAGAACTTGGACAATGCACTTGTGCAGGTTTTTCGGGAGCGCCACTGTGGTCCTTGTCCCAGTAAGGCTAACTTGTCCGTGCCACTGTGCCATAAGGGGTGGGGGAACCATTGCTGCACACAGACAAGCTGCATATGGGCCAGGGTGGAAGCCGCATTGCAGTAGAAGACCCTCCCTTGCTTCCCTGGTCACCCCCAACAGCGAGATATCTTCCAGGATGAACTCCTGTGGAAAATGTGGGGACAGTGTTCAGTATAGGGGCCCCCTGCTGCTTTTAGCTCTCCCCAAGGCACAGAAACCCAGAGGCCAGTACGGCCGTGAAACAATCAGTCACACTTGATCCTGTGCTTACTCACCATTTTGGGGCTCCTGTGGGTTATGTGCGCTTGCTTTGGGACAGGCAAATTATGTTATTGTGTTACTGTGCTTGCCCTTGAGTACAGGGGAATCATTGCTCTTTCTGGTGTGAACAATGCTGCCTCTGTTAAGTGTTGCATTTTGCCTTTACAGATGCAACCTTGAGATCTCAGCCGTCCATGTTATCAACGGCCGAGAGGCTGCAAAGAATAAGGAAGAAGCCACGTAGAAGCAAAGAGGACATGCTGCATGAGGTCATACAGCATTCAACTAATGAAAATAAAAACGTGCAGGAGTGGCAGGAGAGTGAAAGGAGGGTCTGCCAGCAGAATGCGGATTGCCAGCACCAAAGCACAGAGTGGCTGATAAGCATCATGGAGCGCCAAGCAGACTCGATCCAGGTGCTCGTAGCCATGCAGGCAGAGCACTACCGCGCCCGCCCCCCCCCGGCAGCACTTGTCCCGAAACTGTTTCCCTTGTGCCACCATGTCACTTCCAAAACACTTTCCCCAACATCCAGGTTCTTACCGCCACCTGCTGCCTCCAACACCTGTTGCTTCACCACCCAGCCCGGAAAAATACGACCCTTACCCACTGCACTCAACCCCCATCACCATGCAGTACAGCCACCCTGAAATGCAGCACGCATTGCACAGAACTCCAGACAGGACATACGCAAATCTCTGATTGTACCGTTCCCCACCCCATCCTCTTGCCCTTTGTGTTTCCCAAGCAGTTGTGTTGTGTTTCTTTTCAATAAATTGATTTTTTGGCTTTGAAAACATTCTTTATTATTGCATAACGTAAAAGAAAACTTAGCCCAGGAAAGCAACAGGTACTGCAAGTCAGTGTATCATACGTAGCACACATAGATTCCTACCACACGTCATTCCCATGCAGGGCACCACACCAGACATTACTGTTGGCTTTCAGCCTCAGATTGCTCCCTCAAGGCATCCCTAATCCTTGCAGCCGCACGCTGGGCCCCTCTAATAGCCCTGCTCTCTGGCTGTTCAAATTCAGCCTCCAGGTGTTGAAGCTCCGAGTTCCATGCCTGAGTGAATCTTTCACCCTTCCCTTCACAAATGTTATGGAGGGTACAGCATGCTGATATAACTGCGGGGATGCTGTTATCGGCCAGGTCCAGCTTCCCATACAGAGAGCGCCAGCGACCCTTTAAACGGTCATAAGCACACTCCACAGGCATTCTGCACTGGCTCAGCCTGTTGTTGAACCGCTCCTTGCTGCTGTCAAAGCTCCCTGTGTAGGGTTTCATGAGCCATGGCATCAAAGGGTAAGCGGGGTCTCCAAGGATTACAATTGGCATTTCGACTTCCCCTACGGTGATCTTCTGGTATGAGAAAAAAGTCCCAGCTTGCAGCTTCCTGAACAGGCCAGTGTTACGAAAGATGTGTGCGTCATGCACCTTTCCACGCCAGCCTGCGTTAATGTCAATGAAATGCGCACGGTGATCCATAAGCGCCTGGAGAACCATAGAGAAATAGCCCTTCCAATTAACGTACTCGGAGGTTAGGTGGGCTGGTGCCAGAATTGGAATATACGTCCCATCTATCACCCCTCTGTAGTTAGGGAAACCCATTTGTGCAAAGCCAGCCACAATGTCATGCACGTTACCCGGACTCACGGTTCTTCTGAGCAGGATGCGACTAATGGCCCTGCAAACTTGCATCAACACAATTCCAACAGTTGACTTCCCCACTCCAAACTGGTTAGCGACTGATCAGCAGCTGTCTCAATTTGCCAGCTTCCAGATTGCAATAGCTACCCGCTTCTCCACCATCAGGGCAGCTGTCAATCTCGTGTCCTTGTGCCGCAGGGTAGGGGCAAGCTCCTCACAGTCCCAGGGAAGTGGCTTTTCTCATCCAAAAGTTCTGCAGCCACTGCTTGTCATCCCAGACTTGCATGACGATGTGATCCCACCACTCAGTGCTTGTTTCCTGAGCCCAAAAGTGGTGTTCCATGGTGGTGAGCATGTCTGTGAGTGCCACAAGCAGACGTGTCATTTGCGTTACTCGAGTCGATATCGTCGGAGTCCTCACTGTTGCTTTGGAACTTAGGGCATAACTCGACTGCCAAACGTGATGCACTGGCGAGACTTGTCAGCATATTCCTCAGCAGTTCAGGCTCCATTCCCGCAGACCGAAAGGGAAGACAGAGCGCGCGGTACAAAAACCGTTGAAAGATGGCGCCAAATGTGGACGGAAGCAAAGAGAATGCTGGGATGCGAACTGATGCATCACGGGGCGCTGGGACAGGACCCAGAATGCCCCCACACTCCCAGCCCCCTTCACACAAGCCACGGTGCCAGAATGGGAAGTGGTGCTCTGTGGGATAGCTGCCCACAACGCACCGCTCCCAATGCCACTGCAAGTGCCACAAATGTGGCCACACCAGTGTGCTTGCAGCTGACAGTGTGGACAGACTGCAGTGCTTTCCCTACTGCACTGTACGAAGGCGGGTTTAACTCACAGCGCTCTACATCTGCAAGTGTAGCCATGCCCTTAGGTCTGGTCTGCACTACAGACCTATATCAGTATAACTACATCACTCAACCTAACATCCCCATATGGACATAACTATTTCTTCTTGGGGAGGAGGATTAAATACTCTGATGGGAAAGCTGTCTCCCCTCGGCTTAGAGCGTCTTTATTAAAGCACTAGAGTGGCACAGCTGCATTGGTGCAGCTGTGCCACTGCAGTGTTTTAAGTATAGACGTGCCCTTAAAATGCTGCATCCGTGCAGCTGCAGTGCTTTAAAGAAGATGCTCTAAACTGATGGGAGAGAGCTTTCCTGTCAGTGTAGTTAATCTACCTCCCCAAGAGGTGGTAGCTATGTTGGCAGGAGGAGCTCTCCCGCTGACATAGCATCTGCATGATGGGGTTAGGTCAGTATAACTACATCATTCAGGGGTGTGGATTTTTCACATCCCTGAGCAACATAGTTATACTGATATAGGTCTGTAGTGTAGACAAGACCTATGACAATCCAAATGTCACACAAAACATCCAACTAATATGCTTGTTCTAAACTGACTTCCAGACCTTCCCAGGTGCCAGAAACCCAATTGTCTTCTCTCCAGCTGCCAAAACCTCCCATTTCCCCGACCACCACTTTCTATAATGCAGTTATGTTTTTAGCACAAAATTCTGCAACACATGGCACAGTGTTAGAGAACAGAGTTTTTGCTTTAAGTCTTTGCTTATAGGGCACTATCACAAGACATTTTAGTATTAAACATTTTATACCAAAAGGTAAAATACTTTTAAATAGGCAATTAATTAAAATCAAAGAGGCAAAATAATTAAAATTCAGTCCAAAAGAATCAATTTGGCTAAATTATGCAAACTCAAACAGCACCAAGGAATCTGGTATAAAAGACAATTCAGTGGCTCTCAAGTCAGATCTCCCAACCAACAAAATGGATCAGTTCACAAATGATATAAATGATAGGGTTGAAAAAGGGTAGCATTAAGTTTGAAAACTAAGGGAGAGGTCCCAGCACAGGCAAATCAAAATCAATAGGAATTGTATTTTAATTAGTCAATGAATGGGAAGCAGAGCACTGCCCAAATTCTAAATATAATAGTTGCCTAAATAATATTCATATGCTAAGGTGAGATCATGAGAAAAATCGGTAATTGAAAATACTAACTCCCCTTCACAACTCTGAGAGGATTCAGACAGAAAAGTAGAAAACTAGTTTAACACTGTCCTCAGGAGTAGTAGTACAACTGAGTTCAGAAAGACACTGTATTGACTGGATTCCTAGTATTGGAGGTTAAAAGCTTAAGAGGGTCTTACTATAATTCCATAGATTCTCTGGAGAAACAAAGAAATCGTACAATGCATTGTCATACATCTACAAGAATTGTGGAAACTACTTGAATCTATAAGAGGAGATAGGAAAGTGGTGGAAAATATTGAACAGGTGACAAACAGTCAGAGAGAGGCAAGGCAGGGCCATATGGACCCCAGGATGAAGAAACATAAGGTTTGTATTGCAAAGTATAGAAGACAATAAGCTCCACGTATACTAACTAGAATGTTTTTCTGTCAGAAAATACTGTTTAATTGAATTCAAAACTTTCAATGGGAACATGTCAAAATTTTGACAAAATTTTGTTTTGAAAAAAAAAATCAAAATGAAGCATTTTGATAATGATGAAGCATCCCATTTTGACATTTTCATAATGGAATGTTCAGTTTTTAATTTTGAAACAAATTCCAAATTTATTTTATATTACTTTATAAATTATAATATATAATAAAAAGTCAACACTGAAATGAAACATTTTGTTTGACCCAAAACAAAAATAATTCAAAAATTTAATTTTGCAGGAAATTTCAAAATTCAGCGTTCCATTCTGATTCAAAACAAAAACAATTTTTGAAATTGTGGAATTTCCCATGAAATGGAAATTCTGGTTCTCACATAGCTCTAATTGTACCATATAGGTCAAGTCCCAACACAATTCAACAAATGGTTCAAACATAAGTTACAATGTGGAAACAATTCTCAGTATCCCCAGGGAACTGGGCCAAGATGGAAGAGCTATCAAAAGGATCAAGTGAGCTGTAGCTCACGAAAGCTCATGCTCAAATAAATTGGTTAGTCTCTAAGGTGCCACAAGTACTCCTTTTCTTTTTGCAAAAGGACACTGTGTGCTTCATGGCATAATGGGACCAAATTCCGCTGCAAGCATTCTATAATTCTGCAGGACTCCTAAATTCTGTGATAATGTTAAATTATTATTTCTCCATTGAATACCCTTCATTTTCATCCTTCCCATGCGAGACATACACACAACTATGGTTCATAGTTGAAAATACTCATTGATGTAAAATTGGTCAATGATTATTTTCAGCAAAGATTATTTCTGATTATGTATTTTCTTCTATGTGTTCTCTAGACAGCTAAGCTAGTTGGACTTCAGTAGTTAAACCATTGTCTTGGTGATACAGCTCAAAATCTCCTTCCTTCATCCCATACATACCAGAGAAGGGAGGAGGATGTAAATTTCAGTGGTTCATCTTCTCAGCACCTCAGGCCTCAGATGCTACTTCTACTCTCTAGGAAACCTAGCTGTTATTAGGGTTAACATCCAGCTCCTCTTGCTCCCTGCAAACTGGACTCTAGCTTCCTAATTCATCTTTGGCCTGGTTCTATACAACAGAACACTAAAGAGAGCATGCACTTTAATCCAACTAATTTCCACTTGTGGGAAAATTGCAGGCAGTTCTCAGCAGAGCAGGGAGACAGAAAAAAATGCTGGATGTCTGTCTGCTGAAAAATAATGAATTCTGCAGCAAAAATGCTCAATTCTGTAGTATCTTGGAAGAATGACAGATTCTAAGGCCATAGAATCATGGAGTCCATAGGGTCCTAAGTGAGATGGCCTGGGCAGTTCACACTTCCCAGAACCACTGTCTCAGTGCTTGTCTACACCCACAATTCACTGGGAAAGAATCACTGAGCAGCTCACAAAAGTCCACACAACAATGAACAGGAGAGAGGCTAGTCCATGAGATAGTCCATGTTGCCAAGAAGGCCAATGGCATTTTGGGATGTATAAGTAGGGGCATAGCGAGCAGATCGAGGGACGTGATCGTTCCCCTCTATTCGACATTGGTGAGGCCTCATCTGGAGTACTGTGTCCAGTTTTGGGCCCCACACTACAAGAAGGATGTGGATAAATTGGAGAGAGTCCAGCGAAGGGCAACAAAAATGATTAGGGGTCTGGAACACATGACTTA